TCCGTCTGTCTCGGGGAGAAGGACTCATCCGCCAATGTGTCCCATAGGACTGTTGGAATGCGGTCCCAAAGACGTGTGTAAGGCGGGCGCAAATGGTAGATACCCTAGCCATGATGAAAAAGGGGGGGGGTTCGAGCCTCCTATCGAACTGCCGGGACCCAACCGCGGCACAATGCATGCATGCTCCAAACGCGCAGAATGCAGAGTGCAGATGGAGCAGGCAGGCCACACGCATCCCGACAGGTCCCCCCCAAAGTCCCGAGAATTCAACCGGGAAGGGGGGGGAGAGCGACCCAAAATCAACCCCCCAGAAACCCCCAAAGGCACGGAGGGGGGAGACCGACCAGGCGGGGGATTCCCCAAAACTTCAAGGGGACGTCAAGGAAACCAAGAGTCAGCCGCAGCCACTTTTTCCGAACCGTGGCTGAGATGGCCCGTCCTTGGGGCAGCCAATGCATGTGGCCTCATGGTCGAGGAGATCAAGCTGCCGTGACGTGTTGAATAAGAGAGGAAAACAGTGGTGAAAAACGAACCCAATAAGGAAAACCCTTTTCCCCTCCCCCTCCGGAGAGGCACCCAAGTCCCGGCGGGAAGAAATCACACGACTCCCACATCCGACAGGGTTGTGAGACAAAACCTAGCGGCTCCCTCCCTTCAGGATCGCCTCCTTCGCCACCGAGTGGATTGCCGCCAGCCCCGACTTCTCCGGGTTGCTCAGGATGACCGACCACAAGGCAGTGGAGACATCCCCACCAGGCCGTTCGAGGAGCTGAAGCGCATGCGGGGGGTGCTCGCGTCGCCCAGGACCAGCCGCTCATGCCTGGGAGGCTCCGTTGGCTCCACCCTCTTGTAGAACTCCATCCGATCACGGATCCACTGATTGTACAGCTGCTCCGGGGGCTCGTCCATCACCAGCTGCAAGCAGGTGGCCTTATCTTTGTGCCACCCCGTGATCTGGAGCAGTCTGGTCCCCCCGCGGCTCGCCTTCCAGAAGCCCTTGCAAAATCTGCACATATAGCCCCCCATAATCTTGAACTTTTCCTTGCTCACCACTTCCCAGGCACTGCTTGGCAAGACCAAGCCACACTCCACGGAGGCCCAAAACACATGCTTCGTCTCCTTGCAGAAGTGCTTGTTGATGTACTTTCGGCCCGCAACCGCCGTGACCGTGGCCGTGGTGATGGGCGGGTACCGCCTGGTGACTGGTCTGGTGTGCGGAGCGTGGTGTCTGCCCCCCCCAGGACCTTGGCCTTGGGGTCCGCCTCCTTGGCCGCTCCAACGGCACCGGGAGCAACCCAGCTGCCGGATGAGGTCAGCCCAACCTGTCATACAAGGCCCCCGCCGCCTCCTGTGGGACCTGCTCGACCCAGTCGTGGACCACGTTGCAGCGCCAATTGACCTTCACCTCCACCATCGACGACTTGCTCAGGCCCGCCACCAACTTGGTGTAGACCGAGTCGAAGGCCTTCAGCGCGGCCAGCGGGAGGGTGATCCGTTCGTCGCAAACTGCCCTGAAACGCAGCGCCTCCTTACTGTCATGGATGGGGGCCACCGGCATTTCCATCACGGGCAACGGGCAGTTGACAATGAAATTCTTTGCCGCCAGAAATGTCCCCATCTCCTTGAAAATGTAGCTCCACTCCTCCTTGTTGCGCGGCTTGGGGATGCCCAGGCTCTCCAGGAAGGGCACCGCCTCCTTCCTCATCTGGAGGATGTTGCCCATCCACTTGTCCGACTTCACAATCAACGGGAAAGTGGTCCAGGCCGAGTAGATATACTTAAATGTGAACCTGTGGGCGTACACCGTCAGGCTCGGCAGGTCCCACGTTCTCGTCTGTCTGGTCCAGAACACCCCATCACCTTTCGCCCAGAAGATACCAACCACCTGCTCCGGCGCCGGGCGCTCACCCCGGTTCACCTGAGCTCGGATCTCCAAGGCCGTGTAGATGACTGGGTCGATGTGGTCCTGCTCGCACGTGAGTGGGTGAGTCCTGCGCTCAAGGGCCAGGAGCTCCTCCGGCGCGAGCTTAAACTGCTGGTCAGCGCCCCGGGGGATCTCACCGCTTGCGTGCTTCTTCCAAACCCCCCCAAACATCCGGAGCTCTCCCTGGCGCCGCTTCATTGCCCAGAGGATAAGGGACAGCGTCCAGGTCTTGCTGTGACATTGGCTGGTCCGCCGGTGGCACCCTTGGGGGGGGCCCCGGTGCCACCAGATCGGGCATCTCCCCCAGCAGTGCCGCCCGGTGCCACGGGTTCTGCGACGCTCTGAGCATCCTGATGTAGGGGACATACTTCTCCTTGATGTCCCCCACCTGGGGGATGTCCTCGGGGTCATCCAGCTCCAGGGGGCAGAATAGGCCCTCTCCAGGGCCTGACACTTCCAAGGGCTTGAGAGTGGTTGAGCATCCATGCCTGGTTGGTGTCCTGGGTTCGCTTGTTGCCGCCTGAGCCTTGTGAATGGAGCCCATCGCCTCATGCCTGGCTGGCGTCAACGCCCTTCCCCTCCAAGTACTGGTCTCTCAGCTTGGCCTTGAAACGCTCCAGGTTGACCCTCTGACGGCAGGCAGGGCCTGCATGCCGCCAGGATAGCCATCTCGTTGTCCAGCATCTGCTCAGTGACCAACTCCTTGTGCCGCCGCCTGCCCGAGGCCTCCTCCGGAGTCGGTTCCCGATGCTCCCGCAAGGCCTTATGCAGCTCCTCCTTCTTCCTGATCGCCTGGTCCACCTGGGGGTGGTAGAGCTGGAAGCTCTGAGCCTCCGCCTCCTTCAGGGACCGCTGCACTTTGACCTTGATCTCCTGGCTAGGATCTCCTGCCGGATGTCCACCCGCCTGTTAAGCGGGACCGCATCTACCATGGTGATCTCATCTGCCGTGTCCGTTTTTGGAGGGGCTCTCCCCAAGACCGTGCCGTCCACCAAGTTGCGGTCGGCCTGTGCCCGGGTACCACCGGGGCCAACGGCACCCAGGCTTCCCCATTCCCGCTGCTGGATCCAGGTCGGCTTGCCCTCCACGATGAGCAGGTTGTAGGTGATGCCGTCCGCCTCATAGGTGGCCGAGGGTGCCTGGAAGGGGGCGAACTCCTTGCCGGGGCAGACCCAGCACTGCTTGGCTGCCTCTGGCCACCCTGTGCCGCATGCCTTGCACATGAACTTGTAATCGGAATGGCCTGCATCGAGCCTGTGCGTGCGCTGGGTGCCGATACGCGCCTTGTTCCTCTGGAACTGCGAAGCCCAGACCTCCTCCTGGCGGAGCTGGATCTTCATCGGGACATACGCCTCCAGGATGCGAATCACCAGGTCCTCGGTGAGATTCTTCCCGACAAACTTGTGGAACAGGGAGACCGCCTCCTCCACCGTGATGTCTCTCAGCAAGGTGGCCGCCGACGCTGGAAGGACTGGAAACAGGTCTGGGAGGTGCACCAGCTTGAAGTACCCGGGTTTTCCGTCCACCGGCACCAAGGAGACAGGTTTGTTGGCCTGAGACGTAGCCTTCTGAGAAGCCGCCACGAAGCCCTTCAGTCTCTTCGTGGGTGGCGTCTGCGCCTAGTCGGTGTGGCAAATGCCACTCGGAGACGCTCCAGTGCACTGGAGAGGTCCTTCATCACATCGGTCGCCGAAGATGACGGGGGGGCCTCGGGCTCGTCCAAAACCAAGCCGGCCGCCACTGCCGCCTCCCGTGTGCGAATGTCCTGGGCCTCCTGGCTGGCCATTTCAACCTCCTCCACGGTGAGTGTCTGGTCCTCAATCAACTCAAAGGAAGTTGCCGAGGTTGCCGAGGAAGCCATTGCTTGGTCGGGGTGAAGTTCGAAAGTGCCAAAGATCAAAGTTTTTCAAACAGCTTGGGTTCCAGGAACCCAGAACAATGCTTGAGCCAAAATGGCACATGCCATTGTGGTCAAGCATTCCACACACAGTTCATGTTTCCACATGCGTTTCAACATTAACAAATTGTTTGGTGTCCTGTAGGTTTCCCAAACAAGAACTGACCCGACAGGAGTTGGTTTACAAAACACGAGTTCCCAAACTTGGTCTGGGAACCAGAACCCCTAGTTACAGAGTTTGCTGGGGGATGGCTTTCCCAGGAGGGGGGGCTGGGGGCCAACTGGGGGGTAGAAAGCTTCAGGCATTCATTGCGCCAAGACTTAGATTCCTCCGCGGTAAGTTGGAAACGTTTCAGACTTTCGACGATGGAAAAGTGGCGTTGGCTCGGAAGAGGTAAGAAAACATCGAGATGTCCATTTGTGTCACTGTACAGCAGGTCCAGGAGTTGTTGCCTTTTGTTTCTTTTGGGGGGTGGGCTGCGCAGCTCGTTTGGTTCACCTTGTCTCTCGGGCAGACATCAAGCAGGTCACGAGAAATTGCCCCTTCGCCTCTGAGGCCTTGCGGCGATTGGATGGGCTGTGCGTTCCTCTGGACTCAGCCGCCGTTTGGGCAACGGCCCCTTGTGACGCCATGATACCGACCAAGCAAAGGAGAGAGAAGGCGCGGAAGAGTCACAAAGAATGCCTAGGTGCGGGCTACACATGAAATCTGGAAAAAATATCTCTACTTGGCTTCCTGTGATCCTAAATGTTTATTTAGCACCCAGCTATGCCTGGCCGTGCGTGATCTGCAGGTGAGAAAAGAACTCCACATGAGATGTGCAAGATGTTTGTTTCTGGACTCCTGGCGAATGCCTCCGCCAGGGAGCGCTGAAGAAAAACCAGCCTGAGTTTCTTTGCCATGTCTTTACTGGGCTGCCCGTTTTCAGATCCCCCGCTAAAAGTTTAACTTTTAGTGGGTTAAATGGAAACTACCACTAAACACTAAAAAGCTACAAAGCTAAGGGGATGGCTGGGAGCCACCAAGTTTAATATGGGGTTGCCTCCAAATGTGGGAGCCCCCAAAACGGTTGGTTTCCCTTTGGCTTCGGTTTAGAACCACCCTGAAAAGGTTACCCATGTTACCCCGCGCATCTTGCGCAAAGAAATGCTGGAGCAAAACGGCGCAGCCCAAGCTGCGCTTGGCAAAGTTCCGGCAAGCGAGCCTCGGCGCAGACAGGCTCCCCTCACTGGGGACCCTTTGTGTGTGTGTGGGTGCGTGGGTGCGTGGGTGCGTGGGTGCGTGGGTGCGTGGGTGCGTGGGTGCGTGGGTGCGTGGGTGCGTGGGTGCGTGGGTGCGTGGGTGCGTGGGTGCGTGCGTGCGTGCGTGCGTGCGTGCGTGCGTGCGTGCGTGCGTGCGTGCGTGCGTGCGTGCGTGCGTGCGTGCGTGCGTGCGTGCGTGCGTGCGTGCGTGCGTGCGTGCGTGAGTGCGTGCGTGGCGTGCGTGGGTGCGTGGGTGCG